TATTTTAATATATAAAAACAAGGTGTACTTTTATTTTAAAATGAATATAATATTTGTGTTTATTAAGAACTAATGAGAGCATATTGAAATTCCTAATATTGTATGTATGAGACATAAAGTCCTTCATTTTAAGCTAAGTATGAGTGGTCACACTTCAATTATAGGACTTCATTATTCTAGAAATGAGATTTTGATTTGAATTTAGTATTTGGATATTGGAACATTAAAACAACAACTATTATATTGTTTTGATATATTGAGATATGATCATCACATCAACACTTGTTGTGTTATATATTAACATGTTTAATCCTTGCATAATCTCATTATTCTAAAAGTTCATAGTCGGTTATAATTATGGGAGCAATTATGAAGTAAAACTAATATGAATTGGATTGGTTGACTCTCACCAGATAAAAGTAAGTAAGTGGTTGTAACCAAGTTTCATAGGTTCTTGTCAGAGAACTAGTACCGAACGGAAACACATCAAAATCACCTCTCGAATCACTTTCGTAAGTGACACTTTATTAAAAGGCACTATCTTTGTATCCTTAACACATGTGATACATACTAGGACTTAAGTGTATGGAGTGTTGTGCTTAGATGTGGTCAAAGGTCGATGTTTAAACGGGCAGTTATAAAAGCCATTTTCAGGTATGGTGTGAACTATGCAAGAGGCTTATGTAGTCAAGATGAGATTTGTTCCTCTTATGTGTTTAGATTTAGGCATCTATCGCGATACCCAAAGTTGAACACCAAATGAGATTGATTGCGATAAAAGTCTCATGTTCAATAGGATGTCCATAGAAAAAGGATAATTGATAAACTTACCTTATACATCAATTGAAGCTTTGAGCTTTTGGGAATTGGATGTTGATGAATGGAATATTTGCCATGTGTTAATGGGGGCAGTGAAATGTTGCTAGACGTTCACCACTGTCGATATTAATCTATGGCGAGTCTTGTGCAAGTGGGAGATTGAAAGATCTTGTATGCCCAAGAGTTTTTATAGAATGATACTGCTAATAACATACGATCATATAAGGTCACACCTTATAGCAAGTTACCGCTAATTGATTATTATTAGAGTAATTTCGATTATTAATAAATATCAACACTTGGATTTAACTGGAAAAACATTATTTTGGGAAATAATATTTTACCAACATAATAGGAATTCTTATTTCTAGGAAATAATAATAAAGAGAACAAAAGTAGCTTAATATCATATGGTATGATTATTAATGTTGTGTACAAAATTTTGGACACTTTGGGTAATGCATTTAGTTACATACTAACTAGTTAGTTAACGAATTATGTAAAGCAAACTCTAGTTCCTTCCTTTTGACCATATGACCGAAAGTTTCTAGGACTATGAAATAGGCATGGTGTTGCTTTTCATTATTTTATTAACTCCCACATGCATGTAAGAAGAGCCTTATCACTTTTGCTTTTTAGTCTTGGCTTTTGGTTGGATGTTTTGGTACTTAAAGAGCACTTAAGTAGTGAAAGAGTTGGTTCTTTTTACACATGATAAATGCTCTCTTAGGCTGCCGAATTTTCGAAGATAGCAAGCCATTCCCTCTCTTTTTCTTTCCTCCAATAAGTGCTAGAAATGAAGGTATTAAATGTTTCTTCTCTTTAAGCATATTTTGAATATGTCTTAAGCTTAAGAACAACATTTTACAAGTGAATAACTAGAATCTAATGGTGGTTTCATCATTCTTGGTGGATACTTCTAGAGAGATCTTGTTTTAGATCTTCATGATATCTTCATCAACTTTCAACCTCCCATGAGGATCAAAGTGTTCAAAAATTGTTTCATTTTCTTATTCTATGGTTTTGTTTAATCTTTCTAAGTTCTTGCAAAATGATCCTTGGTGGGTATAAAGATAATTTTATTTTTTTCAAAATCAAAGTCTTCCATTGCCATCTTTATGTTTTTGAAACTATTTTTGAATAAAATCCCAACACTTATAAGAATTTTGAATGCAACAGGAGGATTATGTACTGCATTGTGACAACCAAAGTGTAGTTCGCCTAGCAAAGAATCCAATGTTTCATAGTAGAACGAAACACATTCAAATGAGGTACCTATTCATTCTAGAGTTAATAAATGAAGGAACTCTAAACTTGAAGAAAATCCTTGGAAGGAAGAGTCCAGCTGATATGTTCAGCAAGGCAGTTACCACTGAGAAGTTGAAGCTTTT